TTTTAAAATTCCCGGATAGTATGCTTTTTCAATAATTTTCGAACCGTATGCTTTCAAAATTTCCGGATAGTATGCTTTTCAATAATTTCCAAGTTGCATACTTTTCAAATTTCCGGATAGTATGCTTTTCAATAATTTCCAAGTTGTATACTTTTCAAATTTCCGGATAGTATACATCATTATGATGAACTTTTTTTTGATATAAATTTTATTATAATTTCTAAATTTTTTTACAATTTTTTTTTTTTATTGATGAATGAAATGTTATATTTGTATGAAATGTTAGAATATGTTAAAAAGCAATGAAACAATGAAATAAATTTTGAAACAAATGATATGATATAGGTAGCATTTAACAAAATTATCCATCCATTGGATATGATTTATTATGATAAAATCAATTTCAAACGGATAGAATTATACCTTTATTATTTCTACCTTATTGTTTCTTATCTTAAAATATCATTTGAATTTGATAGAGATGAAATTACTGGATGAATATATGAAAGGATGATAAAAAAAAAAATAATGAAATATTTCAATTTTATTCATGCCTAATTAATAATATAAAACTTTTTATCACACCCATATCAATGATAATTGATATGATATGATATGATGATGCAAATTTATGTATGTAAACGCAAATAATTAAAAAATATTTAAATGGAAGTTGTATTGAAATTGAATGAGAGAATTGGTTAAAGTAAATAAATAATGATTAAATAATTATTAGTAGTTGAAAAAAGAAATAATTTTGATATTTTTGATAAAATAGGAAAATTTCCAAAATTATTTATTAATTTGACAAAGAAATTGATAATAATTTGAAACGAAATTGAAATTGTTTATTCAATAGTGTTAGTATTTTAATGCTGCAAATTATCAGAAATATTTATGTTTAAAAAATTGAAATAAAAATTGTAAATCGAAGCGAAAATTGGATCAATTAATAATTTAAATGCTAATTATAGAAAACATTTACCTTAGATGCTAATTTAGATGCTAATTATAGAAAACATTTACTCCATGTACATTGTAAAGCAAATTACAGAATTAAATGAAAATTGAATTTTAATTAATCCATTGTAAGCTATGAATAGAATTAATGACAGGAAAAGGATTGCAAAATTACGACAAAAATATTGGCATATTGGGAAATGATTTTACATTACTTATTGTAAATTTGAAAAATTTCATTTCGAAATTTTAAGTTTTTTTTTATAGAATTAAGAAACGATTAAGCATTTAATGAATTAAATATTATAATTAAAAATGCAAAAAAGTAGAATAATTTTGATTCAACTAATCAATATTATTATTAGCTTTATGATTATACTTATTCATATATTTCAGTTGTTTTATTTTTCAATTGCAGAAAAAAAAAGGAACCAATAAACATTAATGTTTCATTAAATGAAACATCTAAAAATGAAAATATTTTTGCGAAAAATTTTTCAACCATTAATTTTATTTCATACATTTACATATATCATTATGATTAATGATTATGTTTAGAATATTTAATTGATACGTTCGAAATTTTAAACCTTTTCCTTTTGGAATCATTTCGAAGATATTTATTAATTCTAAAATTTCATAAAATCCTTAGTAATTTTGCAAAAAAAAAAAAAAAATACTTCTACCATATTTTTGTTAAAATTTAGTTTCAACTTCTAGAAAAAATAATAACCATTCCTTGTGATTGGAAATTAATTACTGATATCTTTTTTTAGTTCATTAATTAATCAATTAGGGTTTGATAAATTTAGGAAAACACAATAATATAGATAAGGATAAACAAAAAGAAACAAAAAAAGAAGAAAATTACTGATAGATAATAGGAGAAATGTTTGGAAAACTAAATGAAACAGCATTCATGTATATTAGCATTTATCCTGTTGAATAATTGGAAATGAAAAAACAAAAGAAAAAAATAGGAACAAAAATTCTGGTAGATATTTTGAGAAATCTCAGGAAAGGTAAAAGTTCAATGAAAATTGAAAGTATTTAAATAATATGCAAAAAGAAGATTATCACTTAAAAATCACAATTAAATGTTATCAAAAGATGATGATAACTTAAAGGAGATTATCATCATTATCATCATCATCATTATCATCATCAACATTATCATCATCAACATTATCATCATCATCATCATCATCATCATCATCATCATCATCATCATCATCATCGTTCACATCATCAACATCGTTTACAACATATTCCTATTGAATTTGGCAAATTTACGAATCGAATTTTTTTAATTCAATTTTGAATACATAAGTGAAAAAAAAAATTGAAGAGGAGAAAGAATAAGGAGATAATTGCATAGAAGTGAATGCTTATCCAAGAAGTGTTTTTTTCATTTAAAATAATTCAAAAGATGTGTGATACGATCAATGGATATGTGATACGATAATTCAACGGATATGTGATATGATAATTCAACGGATATGTGATATGATAATTCAACGGATATGTGATATGATAATTCAACGGATATGTGATACGATCAATGGATATGTGATACGATAATTCAATGGATATGTGATACGACAATGAAATTGCTAATATTTTCAATATTTTTATATCTTACCTTGATATATCAATCTATTAGCAAACAATCTAACGTTATCTTTTTTTTTTTACCCACTAAAATTTGAATAGTTATGAGTAAGATGATATGATAATGAGAAATTAATCATCTTTATCACTTCTAAATTTACTTTCTCTTTATCTATTCAAAATGATATAATGTTAAAAGAATAAGAGAAAAAAGCGATAGATGGATAAGTGAGATAATATTGAAGCATTTTAGAATTTGACGTATTTCCGTCACGTAACCGTGGAAAAAATAAGAAGAAAAAAACCCTTGGCATATCTATTTTTTTGAACATTCATGAAAAAAAAAAAAAAAAGAAATTTAGAAAAAAGTAA